TATAATTTGCATTAGTTGGTGGCCTTATTAAGAAGAAAAATACAGAGTTTGGAGACAGAGTTAAAAGAGTTGAGAGCGAATGCAGTTGTAAGGGTTCAGGATAATTGGATGTTAAAGCAAAAGTATACTTAGTTGTTAGAGAAAATAAATCAGTTGAGAGCAAGATTGGCAAATATTAAAAAAAAGTTAAGAAGATTAAGAGCAGAAGAAAGAAAAAAGAATGGAGATAATAATAATAGGAATAGAATGTTTGGTGTTGGTTTTTAATTTGTTATATATATATATGTTTTTCTTTCTTTTCTTTTTATATATATTATTTTTTTGTTATTATCTGTTTTTATTTTTATTTTTTTTTTAATTAAATAATAATAGTAGGTTTCAAGTTTGATGAGTATAATATTTCTTTAATAAATATACATTAATTGGTGTTTCTAAAATTTGTCCTTTCATGGTATGAAGTTTGTAAACATCTTGTGCTATTTTGGTATAAATAAAATAAGGTTCTTTTCATTTTGGCAAAAATTTTTCTGTATAATGCTTATCTCTTGTGGCATTATAGCACAATACTTGCTCTTCTTTTTCAAATAGCTTTCAAACTTTTTTTAACTTCTTGTCCCAATAGAATTTTTGTTGTTGTTGAGATTTATCAATATTTTTCTTAGCTTGTTCTTTATTTGCAAATAAATCTTCTACAATTGTGTACAGTCTTGTTAAAAGATTTTCTTCTAAGTTGTCTTGAAATTTGAATATATGCAATTTTGATTCTCTGCTATAGGTAAGCAAGAAATGTGTAAATTTAGTAGTCACATGCTTAGAACTTCTATATAAGAATAAGACAGAAGGTATTAATTTGTCCCATTTAGTATTATCATTAGCTAGTTTTGCTAAAGATTCACACAATATTCTATTGAAATGTTCTATAATCCATTTGTTTGGAGATAATAAGGAGTAATAAGCAAGTGTTTAATTTAAAACTTTTACATTACATTTTCAATTAGCAAATTATTAAAATGTGTTTCTTGATCAAAGAGTATAAAATTAGGACATCCATGTCTACAAATAATATCTTCATAGACAAAGTTAGCAGTTTGCTGTACAGTTGCATTTGGTATTGTCTTTGCTTTAGAATACTTAGTCATATAATCCATAATAATAATTATATATTAGTTTTCTTGAGTAGTAGAAGGGAGTGGACCAACAAAATCAATTCTAATTTTGTCAAAAGATGCTTCTATTTTAATGGAGTATAAAGAACTATGTTGTCTATATTTTTCTCATTTTTGACAACTATCACAAGTCTTTACATAATTTCAAATATGTTCATACATTTGAGGCCAATAATAACAACTTTTGATTTTGTCAAACATTTTGTTAGTTCCAAAATATGCTCCAAGGGGGTGGTTATACATGAGGCATAATACAGATTCAACTTCATGTTTTTGAATTATTTTTAATGAATCTTGACTTTTGTTTTGTTTTTTTTTATATAATTAGTTATTTTTGATACAGAAATATTGACTTTTCTTTTGCAATTGTTCTTTTTGGGTTTTTGAGAAATATGTAGAATAGGTGGCTGTTTTCAAAAATAATTTGATATTTTGATAATGTTCAGGTTCTATTTTAACAGATTTACAAATATAATACTAGAATATCAACTATCTAGACTAAATTGTACTTATTGTCAGGTTTTTTTGGAAGAATAATAAGTTAATAATAGAAGGTAAGATTAGTGTATTCTACCATATAGAGTTACAAAGATAGTTAGGAGAAAAATTGTTATGTTCATCCAAAAGATGATAGGAAAAGGTCTCTAATAATGTTAACCACCAAGGTTTGTCAATTAGAGCATAACTAAGCTGGATATTATAATGGTTTATTTGAACATTGATAGAGCTTGTTGAATAACCAAAGGGCTGACTGTTGTTCAAATAAAGGTTCTAAAGATAAAGGTTCATAGGAATAAGGTTCTGGCAAGATTGGATCTTTTTCATAATCATCATCAGATATACTTCAATAATATTGTCCTATTTTTTATTTTATTTTATTTTTATTTTTATTTTTAAAACTGATATTATCGGTAAGTGTGCAACTAGCCATACATATAACTTTTGATTACCTATTTAAGTAGTCCACTCAAGAGTTCTACACTAGCTGTCATGCCTATAATCTACTAGGAGAATACCTATTTAAACACTTTGATCCTTATACTACACTCAGACAAGTAACATCTAGTTTCTGTACAACTAAGTGCTATTTAATCCAATATTTAGCTTTCCTCTTTTGTATATCTGTCAAGCCATTAAATGTTTCAAAATACATCATCTGACTGTAAGGTTCTGAAGTATTCCCTTGTTAATTACCTACTCACTTTATAAAACATTAACAAGGCTAGCCTTTATAGAGTTTACCCAAACTCTAGCACCTACTTCACAGCATATACCTAGTACTTATAGTATACTCCTGTTTTGATCCCAGACTCTTAATTCAGATAGTCTAATAGGACTGTGACCTGTCTTTGGTATATTAAGCTGGCTTGATATTTTTTTCTCTTGTTTGGTTTTAGTGACCTGGTTGGTAGTACCTCTCACTTGAGGTTTTTGCCCATTTGGCTCCTTCACATTAGTATCTGTTTCCTAGGTCTAGCCTTTACATTAGTACTATCAAAGATCTGTGTTACTTCTCTACTCAGGTCTTTCCAAGTAAGTTCTGATTTTCCAGTTCTATGGATTTACACAGCTACAAGGACTTATTTTAGATTTGCACCACCTAGTACTGATTTGTATTCCTTTGTGTAACTAAGATTACACAGATGCCCCATGACCTGCCAGTCATGCTAGTGTGACCATAGTTATAGGTATCCTATTCCAACTGATTAACAGAATGCTGTTACTGTAATACTATCTATGTATTACATAAGTGATTATTCAAATTTTCACCATTGATGGGTTTTGAACTCACAACCTACCACTTGGAGGGTTGACAACTTATTCACTTTACTAAGTCACCACACCTGTTCTATTTCTTCAATAGAGTATTGTTTGATTGTTGCCCAAAGTTGCAGTTCAACATGACAGATTGAACATTCATTACAAGGGCTATAGAGTTTATTTCCACACCAACATTGTGCACAGGGACCTTTTTAGTCTTAGGCAAGTTCTTTGTTTTTATCTTTAATACCAAATTGTTTGCTAATATGTTCAATATAATACCATGTACAAAACTGGTTATCATATTCTATTCTATCAAGTAAGAAAGTTATTCATTTACATGATCTTATACTATCAAGAAGGGCAGAAGATAGTTTATTATATAATGTTTATTTAATTAGTTCTAGATTTTGTGCAGTTTGGACACCTTTATGCATTTTGAGTTCCTTTTCTATATACAAATTAGTTGTTAGAGATATATCTGTTCTATTTAGAGATTGAACATCACTTCAAGGATTGTTTATAAAATAAAAATCTTCAGTAGTCTGATAGTTTTTAATTTCCTCAAGTTCTTCAGTAAGGTAAAAGATTTCTTCTTCATTTCAATCTACTGAAATAGTAATTGGGTTTTCATCAAAAGCAGCTTCAAGAGCTTCTTTTTTGGTAGGTAAATCAAACAAGTTTATTTCATATTCTTCTTCTGATGATTTATCTAATTCATACATTCTTAATAATAAGTTAGCATTATTGTGTCTTCTTTTAGCTCTATGGGTTATAGTAAAATTATAAGGTTCTAGACACATAATCTATCTAGCTCTTCTTCTAGTTAATTTTGTAGTTCTAAGCCATTTTAAGACTGCATAATTAGTAATTATATAGAAATGATTTTCTCCTAAGTATTGATAAAAATGCTCAACTGCCTATACTACAGCTAAACATTCTAATTCTATAGCAAAATAGTTTTGTTCTGCTTTTGAAAGACTTCTGCTAGCATATACTATGACATGTTCTCTTTTATTTTTATCTATTTGAGCTAATACAGTTCCTAAGTCAAATTGTAAGGCATCAGTATGAATGTAAAAAGGCTGGTGAAAGTCAGAATACTGTAGGATTGGTGCAAAGATATAATGATCTTTAAGGGTCTAAAAAGCTTCTTGTTGTTCATCTTTTTATTGATAAGGTTGGTCTTTTTGTAATAAAAGATTTAAAGGTTTGACAATTTTTGAAAATTCTTTTATAAACTTTCTGTAATAGGAAGCAAGTCCTAAGAATTCTCTAATTTGGCACATATTAGTAAGTGTTGGAAAGTTTTTCACTTTAGCAATCTTTTCTTCATCAGGTTTTATTTCATCCTTTCTAACAATATGTCCTAAAAATTTTAATTTATTTAAGAAAATGAAACATTTTTCTGTATTTAGTTTCAGGTTAGCTTTTTCTAAAACTTTAAATACAGTTTGCAAATATTAACAATGTTCTTCAAATGTTTTTGAGTAGATGGTAATATTATCCAAATATACTACAACAAACTTGTTGATAAATGGTTATAGAATCTTGTCTATTAACTTTTGGAAAGTAGCAGATGCATTGCATAGTCCAAAAGGCATTACATTAAATTTATAGATGTCTTGTCTAATAATAAAGGCAGTTTTCTTTTTGTTAGCTTTATTTACAGCTACTTGCCAATATCTGCTAGCCAGATCTAAGCTAATAAACTATTAGGCTCCTTCAAAGACAGATAAAATTTTATTAATATCAGGTAGAAGATAGACATCTTTTTTTGTGATTGCATTTAGTTTGCAATAGTTAATGCAGAGTCTCTTTTTTCTATTTTTCTTAGGCATAATAACTACAGGTAAGAATCATAGACTATATGATTCTCTAATAATTCCTCTTTTTTCCATTTCTTCAATTTCTTTTTTAAGGAATTCTTGATCATCTAAAGAAGCTTTATAGGCTTTTTGTTTGATTGGATGAGCATCTGGAGTATAAATTTTATAACAAACTTTATTAGTTTGTCCTAGTTCTAAGGTTTGTACTTTCTTAAATATGTTTTTTACAAAAATATAGTAGTTATTAAGAAGAATTTTCTTTGCAATCCTTTTCTCAAAGTTAGTAAGAGAAGTGTTAACTTGCATAGTAGGAGGTTGAATCTCAACTTCAGCAGTAAGGGCAATATAGACTACTGAGTTCTTTTCAGTAATAATTTTAGTCCAGAGGTTATAGAATAAATTTTCATCTTTTTGTTCTCTTTCTTCAGTATAATAAGTTTCTATTTCATTATCTTGTTCAATTTTATTAATCTATTCATTTTCATCAATAAATTCTTTAAATTCTTCAGATACTGGCTCTTTACTTACATGGATTGTATAGATAGTGGCTCTTTTTCCTAAGTATCTAATTTTTAGAGTATGATTATTAAAATCCAGATTTGTTTTAGATTTGTTGAACTAATTAGTTCCTAACAAAAGTGTCTCATTTTTTGACTCAATTACTTGTAAGTCAATAGGAATCACAATGTTTTGGTGAATAATTTTCATATCAGTAATGGAATCTAATGCTTTTTCTCTAGTTCCATTAGCAGTAACAACAATAGTTTTTGATTCTTGGTTAATTGTTAGTCCAAATTTTTTCATTAATTTAGCTGTAATTATGCTAACAGCAGTACCAGAATTAAGGATAGCTACTACTGACTGTTCTTTAATGTTTATATAGCATCTTATTGCTACTGTCTTTTGTTTGAGTTCTAATTTTATATAGTTTGCTTCAGTAATAGATGCATTATCTTTTTTTATAGTTTAGACAAGGTTTTTATTTTGGTTAGGATATTGCAATAATTGTTTATAAGTAGCTTGAGCTTGTCTATTCAAGAGATCTTTGAAGATATCATAAGGTTCCAATTGGTCAATTACAGAAGAAAGGTTTTGATTTCTTTTTCTAGTAGTTTTGGGAGGTTTAAGAACTTTAATTAGTTCATCAACTATGTCTTCCAATTCAGGTTCATTAGGAAATACAGTTCTGTTTCTTAATCTAATTTCCTTTTAAGATTCTGATTTCTTTTGAGTTTCTCTTTGGGCTTCTTTTTGTATTTTCTAATTAGTACTATAAGGTTTAGAATAAGAAGTGCAAGTAATATAAACTTTTTCTTTATCTGAATAATATTCTTTATCTTCTATAGCAGCATAATTAATTTTTTATTTGTTTGTGGTTTTGCATTTATCTGATAACATTGTTCTTTAATAAGTAATTATTTAGGGTATAGCGACTTAGTGAAGTGAATAAGTTGTCAACCCTCCAAGTGGTAGGTTGGGAGTTCAAAACCCACGGATGGCGAAAATTTGGAAAACCATCTATGTTACACTGGTGTATACAGGCATCTGTGCAATGTTGGAGTTATACAGAGGAATGCAAACCAGCATCAGGCAGTGCAAACACAAGATAAGTCCTTGAAACAAGTACTACAGCAACAGCTAT